TTATTTGGATTTTACAGATTTTACAGTCTTCAGGTGGTAGACCACAGCTATATGCATTCACTGCTGGGTGACTGGATTAACAGTTAACAGCCAGCAATCTGACCCCTCCCTTTGGTCCTTGGCAAAGCTTTCTCAAAAAGAAGAAAACATCCCAGCTATAGAGATTGTATATATCTTATTGCAGGGTGGGTGTGTATGAAACAATGGCAGTTCCTAGATAGTGCAATTGCAACAGCTGCAAAAAAATAAAGAAGTATATGGAGGAAATCCCAGCAAACACAATTTTGCCCACACTGTGGCCAGTTCCTCATACTTTGGAAGAGGAATAAGAGAGACATAACTGTAAGAAAAAGTCAGTGATGTCAAACATGGTCCCTGCATTACTACAGGCTGTATTGTGCAGACACCTTTAAAAGTCAAGTAAAGTGAAAGTCAAGCTCAGTAAAAGTATTTGAGCATAATCTATTCACATCCAGCAGTCATCTGCTTTCCTACCCCTGCAGAAAAGTGCCTCAAGCAGTAACCGTTAGTACTAGATAGAGATCCAGAAAAATTCTATCACAGTATTAGTAGGAAACCATTGAAAAATTTGAATCATGTTCACAAGGGCTCTCAAGAATCTTGGTCTGCTTTTATAGGCGCCTTGTGTTGACAAACTGGGTTACTTTCTTTGGAAGCAGCATCACACACATGCTCTGTGCAGAAACTGAGGCTGCTAGCTACCAAAATTTACTAGTCAAACATGGAACTGCCCAAGTATTGATAAAGATACATTAATTTTTCAGCTGAAGTCCTAGGCTTTAAATATGCTCAAAGTATTTTTTTTTTTTTTTTTACTTTACTATCAGCCAAAACTAGGCTATTTGATTACATTAATAACTTTCTAAATCCTTCTATACAGAAACTCCCATAGCTTAAAAGTGATTTTGTATTTCCTTTAAATGTCAAACTGTGATTTCTTAAACTGTTTAATCAGGTTTTAATCAATTTAGCTCTTTAGTTCCTTAGGCAGCCTGGCAGTGCTGAAACTGGAATTAAGAATCAAAGAATAATTAAAGCTAGCACTGATTTTGCGAAAAGTCTGCATCCCATCAGATCAGATTTCTCAGGGCTTTATTCTGCCTGGTCTTGAAAACCCTGAAGGAGGGAGATATCACAATCTGTGTTCTCTCTCAACTGCTTTATTTTGTTCATTGTGGAAAAAAATTAATTATGTCAAGCCAGAAAAGAAGCTAATTCTCTGTTAATTTCAGCAACATTTTCTGTTGTTTGACCATCGTCTCATTTCAATCTGTGGATCTGATGAAGGAATCATGTGGTGATGTTCTATGGCCTGTGTTATGCTGGAGTTCCAATTAGAATAAGTGACATAATGTCCTGTGGCCTTAAATTTCTGTGTATCTTTCTTACAACAGAAAAAACCTCAGCATTCCATTCACTGAAAATCCAAACAAGACATAATTATTCTCATTTAAAGGCTACAATGAGTATAGGAAAAAAACTAAAGCAAACGGATTTATCATGTTTGGGAATCAGGATTGAAAGGGAGCACAGAAGAATAGAGCTACTTTCTTTCTTAGCTCCTTTTTTGACATTGCCAAAACTCATATGGTGAAAGCTGACAATTACAGTTCAACAAACACTCCATCTGTTCCAAGGATCCACTGCTTTCCACTCCAAATTATTCCTTCAGACTATTCACCAAAAGCTGAGAAATAGATTCTTCAAAAAGTTAAACAGTGAGACTACTAGGTGCCCTATAGAGCAACTTTTACCACAGAATTTACTCTAAAGCTAAATAAACCACAAGCACATCACAAAAAATCACGTTGAGGGTGGATAGCTTCACTGTAGTGGCTGAGCAGGCACATAGACTCTCCTCTGTAACCTCATTCTTGCTCACTGAGGAGTGAGAACAGATCTCTATGTGGTTACCTATAGAGCTTGTTTCCAGAGCTGTCAGCCTCTTAAATGTCTTAAACCCACTTAAATAGATAAAGAAATTTTTAATAATGGAAATAACAACAAGAACATAATCATGTTCACATAATCATCTGCAATCCTCTACAGATCGTGAGGTTGTTTTACAAAAACAGTCCTTAAAGTTTTGCTATATAAAGAAGTAGTCTTGATATTCAGCACCTGCTTTTATCACCTTCACACAATTATTGACAGTTCTTCTATTTCCATACAACCAGCTCCCTGTAAGTGGGAGAGTGGTTGAGGGAAGAGGCTCTTTACCAGAAAATGAATAAACTAGAAAGACAAGGGAAAGCAGAGAGGGAATACCAGACTACAGGTTGACTGGTAAGAGGCCAGAGACCATTGTGCCAGTATCAACACAGACAAGGTTAAATATTATATTTATAACAATATATAACTTAATGGCATTCATGTTTGTTTGGTTGTTTGTTTTCTTTTTCCCTTTTAAACCACAGAGGAACACCAACACCACAAAATGAAGATCCCACTAAACCTGGCTATCTCTACTCTGAAATTATATTCCTTGAAACTAGCTCCACAGTGAAAGCTGCACTTAATCACAGCTCTTGAAATCCTTCTTTAGATAGTTTGCATGAGGTACGGCAAATGAAGGAGGAAGAGTTTAATTGGATTAAGCTGAGAAAAGTGTGTTCAGGGTTTCTGTGAACAGGTCTTACTTATTCAACTCTGGATCTCCCCATCAGACTTACTTGCTAATGTAAAAGTCAGCCCAAATACCATCCACTGGACATGTTTTGGGTTTTTTTGTTTGTTTGTTGTTTTTTTTTCCCAGAACACTTATCTTTACACTAGAAAGATTCAAAGCAATGAATGAATTTCTAAGTTTCAGCCACTTAACACTTTAAAGCTGTTGTCCTACTAGTAAGGTCATACATAGGGCTGTTTTTTTTTCTGAGTATATCATCTTTCAAGATTTATTTCAGCTCCTTTGAAGAATGAACAAATGTCATATTCGTTGTCATTAATTTATATGAATGAAAATAGAGATTTTAATTAGTACTATGCCTATGGTGAATCTAACCAAAGGCTTCTGCAGAACAGGTAGGAATAAACAGTACCTAACACAGCAACAAAGGTTCCCTCTCTGATAACTTGTGAAATGCAGAACAGGTAACAATATACATGTTCAGTGACTGCATTTCATTCAACAGCTTTATGAGCAGTACTCAGATAGTACCAGGTAGTATCACATCCAAATATGGGACTGATGCGAAAATCAGTCAAAAGGATTCTTTTGAAAGGCAACTGACCCCAGGAACAGATCCCTAAGTAGGGACTTGCTCACCTAAGAGATACCCAGAACACCAAATTCAACACAGCACATATCTGTTCCTGAATTGCAAGATTGAAAGCCTCCTGAACAATTTTATCAACAATTTCATACAAAAAGTGGTAAATAGAAAAGATGATGAGAAGTATGTGTGGGCCAGCATACTTTATCTGCAACAAAGGTTGAAGAGGAGGCAAGAAAGGAATAGGTGTACAAGTTCTGTTCTAATAATGCTCAAAAGGTATCTATAGCATCTCTTTATGGGACTGTCCAATCATCTCTTATGTAATATGAATACACAGTCCAACACAAGTAGACTTGTCCCTTTCCTTTTCCTGTCAATTCAGAGTGAGACAAAGATTTCGTGAACAATGAGCCTTGACTCATTGACTTTGTTTTGGCTTTTATCAGAGTCCAGCATTTTAGAGACCAGATGCCCTACAGAAATACCAGTGGAAGCAAAATCACCTATCTCTCTGCACCTTCAACCAATCATCAACTCCAAAAATCATTTACCCTGAAGAAACAAACAGCAGCCAATGCTTGAGGAATCAGACCCATTTTTCACTACACAAAATATATGACACTGCTTCCTCTGATACTCTCTTCCTTCTTGCCATATAATCAAAGTCCTGATTAAAAATGTAGTTAATGCAGCCTTTCTACATATTAGAGTAGAACAGAAAAGTCATAGAAGCTATTAAACAAAACACAGGTTTGTCCAGATAAATAGCCATCAAGTCCGAGAGTAAGGTATTTCAAAGGTCTGGAAACACTGATGGACACAACCTCCTTGATGCATCATCTACCAATTAATCGCAGGCCCTAGCTGCCTATAAACTCCAAAATATTGGGCTGAACTAATCTAAACGTATGGCATTTTTCTTGTTTGTTACTTTTCAGGGCCAGCTAATTTACAACTTACATTTCTTACAGCAAGCTCACAGCTTTTCCATTTGAAAGCAGTAAATCAGGACCCATTAATTAAAACTGCTTAAAATCATGCAAGTACATGACATTTCTGAAGTATAACTTTTTTGTTGTTGCATGCAGCCACAGCTAAATATTTATGCTGTCTACACTGCACAATGCACTCTTCCACTTTCAGCAAGGATACTTCAACCTACTTGTGCCACTCTTCAGAGAGAACATTATAAAAGGAAATTTGTGAAGCTGTTAACAACTCTCTCATCTGGGCTGTCTGCTTAAATAACAGCAATGCTTATTAGCTATATGTAGTACTGAAAACAATACTTTTGAGAATAATTCACTTCACAACTTGTGAGTTTTGGATGAGAAATCAAGAGAAGGTGGGAGGGCTAAGTTCACTGCATTCCAGACTCTCCACTGTCTTGAACATAAATGTACACACTAGGAAAGCAGTGACTAGTTTTACTTTCCATCCATTCTGTATCTGTCTAAGTAGCTGGACAAAGTGTGAAGTCGTACAAATTTGATTAGCTTTCAAGAAGGTACTAATGCAATGCTGATCACTCTCCGCGATTAACCTGAGGAGCTCATCAGGGACAAACATTTAAGGCTAACAAACTCTAACATACCAAGCAACCACAGTTAACATTTCATACACTGCATACTATTTCTGATCCCTCCTCCTCCCCACCTGTTGTTCAACAGCTTTAATGTCCTTAAATATGGGGGAAGAGAATACGGTTACTCCAAGAATGAAAGGCAATTTATGCTTTATGACTTCTTCCTTTACACTTACCTACACTTGTAGGAAATATATCCTCATTGTTGATTTGCACCTCGATCCAGTCCATGAGAAGATTCATATATTGGGGTGCTGGCAATGCTGTGGGCTTCTTGTACCTCAAGTCATCCTGCCACCGGTACTCATACTTGGGGCCTCCAGACATCACTGGGCAAGTCCTCTCCGTGCAGAACTCACAGATAGTTCCATAAATGAGGTTGATCCTATTGAAGAAGTCAACAACATGAACAGCCACCCAGTCATTCTGGTCTTCACCACTGGGCAACTGCACAGCTGCTTTCAAGTCCACGCCCGAGTTGAGAGATGCTTGCGCTCGCTTGTGAAGTTCAAACCTCTGGGTTCCAGGTTCAAACTTGCGTTTTGGGCGGAAAGTCTTATCTTTATTAAAGACTTGCTTGAGTGCTATGGACATGTCTGCTAATCTTCTGCACTGAAGTAGCTGGCAGGAAAGCACGTCTGAGACTTAATGCAAGTATCTGAAGACAGCTGCTCTCTATCACAGGCTTTCCAGGCCCAGCTCTTTTTCCCAGAGAAGCTTGTATCAACTTCAGAGCAATTTATTAGCTCTTCCTCTTGAAAGCCTCCCTGAAAGTTTCATTTCCCTAAGGATATAGAAATGATACACATCAATGGCAAGCTCAAGTCTGGTCTTGTCAGTTTGCTACTGTTTTACCAGAATTTTCTAGCAATTACAATAGGAAAAATAATATATAACAAGCAAGCCTTAAAAACTGCCCAACCCCTAATTTGAAGATTTAATTTTTTTTAAGTGTCTCATTTTTGAAGTATTAGGGAATTGACTTCTCTGTTCTTTTTAAATATCTACCCAAATAGAGGCTTTTAAAGATGAAAATTCAGTACCTCTTGTATGATCTTCAAATTTCAAAACCAACTTTTTCACTTTACTACATTTTTATAATCACTGCCTAACATTCAATATGTGCATATAAGTTCAGTAGAAAAAATACTATGTGACAATTTAGAATCTTGATCTAACTGCTCCTAGAGCCACCAATCTAAGTATTTTTATAGCTTCAGTGCTCCTCTCTGTGGGAAAAAATTAATTAGCAAGAAAAACTTATCCATATCTGTTCTCTGTTTTAAATTATTGAGGTATTTGCTTTTGCAAACCACATAGAACCTAGTAAGAAGGACAACTATAGTATTGCACAGAAATAATTCCTGTCTCCCACAAAACTGTATAGAGATTACTACTTTTATTGACCCACCTTCAGAAATTCACTAGTGGACTTAGATTTCTATTGGATTGTGTGGACCTAGCAATTAGCAATTGTGAAGCCAATTTTTTATAACTTTATTCATCTTCTTTGCAGGGGAATACTTGGTACTGTTCTTACAAAAGCAAGAGCACAGACTTTGTGTTGTTTCATCTAACCTAAGCTGGCAATTGAATGGTTTCAACAGTGAGCCTGACTGAACAAATAAATTACTGCATTAGAGCTTTATTTGCTCTTATATATACATACACATGAAAAATAGTATATTATCATTAAATATATACACTTAGGAGAGACAGGATAGATAGATGCTGTTTCAAATAAACTTTTGTTTCAGTACTGAAGATTTTAATAACAATTTTAGAGAGTAAACATTTCATTCTGTGCAATACTTAAATTAAATAACACAATACGTGTTAAATCTGCATAGAAATACAAAAATCCTCCCCTACCAGTTCTTATGGGATTATCTGTGTTCTACTGTTTCCCTTAACAGAAATCACATCCATGAAAATTTTACTAGGCAGTGTGTGCCTAGCACTAAATTCTTTTGAAGACAATTGCCTAAGGCATTGCAGAGGGGAAAAAAAGAAGAGAGAAAGCTGTTGCATTCTTCTTAATAACCACAAGAAAGTAACACCTACCTTAGCAAAGAGAAACCTGGTGTGCTAGACTCTGTGTCCACACAATAGGATGTAAGTGCCTCAAAAAATCCTCTTCCGAATATGTGAAAGACTAGCATGCAAGCTAATTTGCTGTCAAGCAGCAATCACACAGAATCAGCTGAGAAGTGCTTGCTTCAACTTTTCCTGATGGCACGATAGAGGAATATTCCAATCATGACCTCATAAACAGTCATTTTTTTCTGTATCTGCAAATCCAAGAAATTTTGGAATGAACTCCACTGAATTTATTGTCATATCTGACATGTCCCTTGAGGAATATTCAAAGACAGAGATACTGAATATTCCAGTCCAGAAATTCTTTCCCTGACAAAGGTCAGGGAAAGAAGATTTTAAACAAAAATAGCCTTGGAACAGTTAAGTGTCATTGGCAGGAAATGAAGGTACTTTTAAATAGTCAACTTTGCCCTACAATTTGTTGTTTAAAGCTTTCAGCTCTCAAATACTCTGTGGCAGCCACCTGTATTTGTTTATTTAAAAGCCCTTAAAAATATAGGTGTGTAGTGCTGCATAGACTGAGCCTGTGACTGACGCACTTGGAGATGGCAGGGAGCCAATGTCCCAGTTTGCAATAATATGCAGGTTAAGTCCAGAATTTTACAGCTCAGGTAACTTCCCCACATTAATATACCTGGTGTTCTTCTGTGGTTTGACTCCATCACCTGCAAATATTCACCAGAACATGCAAGGAGTTTTATTTAAAACAACAAGCTGAGCACCAAATAAAACTCATCTTCAAAAGAGACATTTTGAAACACAGTACTCACTGCAATTAAAGCTCCTTCAAGAAAAACAGAACATACTGTATTTATAAGCTGTTTTCTACTAAATACGCAAGCATAATTAGTCACATTAAATAATGTTTCATATATAAATAATACTCCTTTCCATATATTCAGGAAATCTGTATAAAATCAATTAATTCAGAGAAAATTCAACCAAAACATCCAGCAAACAACTCATCATCTCAAGTCTTATGTTGATGTTGAAAGTCTCTGTGGAAGCACACACAAATTCTGCTTAAATTCACCTCAAAGACTCATCCAAAAGATTACTCTACTGTGCCACTAGATGAAATTATTCAACTCACCAGGGCAGAATCAGAACAAGCAAGAATTTCCTATACATTTTGGGTCTGGAAAATCTTCTGTTCAGTATCCTGCAATAAAAGCCAAGGCTGTGCAATGCTAGGGGATGAAGACTTGCCTTCTCATGTATTCTCACATTTAAGAATGCAAAATAGAAGATTCTAAGACCTGACCTTCACAAAAATACTAGACTGAATCAGCCCTTTGAAATACTTTTTTTGCATCCTGGTTTTTCATGGTATTTGCTATCTAATTAACCATTGTCTTTACTCAAAAACTAGCAGAAATTAACAAAGAAGTAAGAATTTAGGCTTTGTCTAAACATTTACAAACAACATCACTACTACCTCCCTGGAATAAAGAAGCTTTCCCTTTACTCACAGGAGACAAAGGAACATACCTTATTTTCAGTAGAGATCAAACACAGACATTTTAGGTTTGGATCCTTCCAAGGCTGACGCTAATGGGAGAACTCTAGCCAAAGTTGTTGGGCTCTATGAGCATCTTTTCTGCTTAGGTAATAAAGTGGCAGGTGTTAATGGTAGTAGGTAGAAGGTAGTAGTGGCCACTCCTTTGCTTAGGCCTGAATCACTAATCCCTTGCAGGAACTCAACTGCCTTTAGACTTCCAACTTCCTGTACTGTGCTTAAATCAACAATTATGACAACAGTTTTTTCATTCATCACAAATCACATACTGTCATTTAAAACCTTGTACGGGGGAACTTAAAAATCAAAGCTATTGATTTAAAATTGCATAACATTAGCAAAATGAAAACTCATCTGATAGCTTCAACAACAAATGATAAACAAAATCTCACCATTTTTAAAGCATTGAGAATGTAACTTGCCTTGCCATTCATCACATTTGCTTCTATGACAGTTTACACCTTACAAGCATGAAAAATGCTTTGAGTTTCATTATCTCAACTGGTCTTGGGAGAATTGCTTCAGAGCTGAAACACTGTGGGCAATGTGGTATGGATCAGACTGAGTCATAACTCCTTGAAATCTGTGGTACAGTAGAACCCACCTTCATTCCATATAAAACTAAATTAGTCTTTTGATAAGAGATACCTTGTACTTCACAGTTATAGTAATGCTAGCAGAACTGCTCCTGTCTTACACTTGTGTCAAAAGTGATAAAAACTGCCTTCTAATTTTTTATGACAGGTTCTGACTATACATAAAGGTATAAAGAATAATATTATCACTCATGGCATTTGGCTTAATGCAGTGTCCTGCACGTCCCTCTGAACTAAATGACTGTTCTGGTATGGACAGCTCAGAGAGGTAATTCCTCCCAATGACTCAGTTTCTCTTCTTTTTTTCTAAGAACAATGTATTTCTGGGACAGTAACTGACTATTCCATGGCACATATAATGCAGATGGGTGAATTCCCTTACTGGAAGAGCCATGCAGAGAACGGTAACCACAGATGTGGAGATGATCTCAGGACAACCAGACCTCATAAGCTTCATCCATGGCATCAGCACCACAGTGACCAACACTGTCTTCCAGTTTGTGCACAGAGAGAGATAAAAACTTGGCCTAAAATCAGGTATATCAATATATGGAAATAATAAACCAATCCTACCCATGAAGATACCATTAAAAAAACCCACAACAAACAACACATCATGACCAGCATCATATCAGAGCCACTGCTGAGTTAAAAGCATGCTCTATCATTTCCCCATGCATTTTCTACTAAATCACAGGTAACTAGAATGTTAAATGAAACACTGTTTATAGACACGTACCTTTCATCATGATATTCTAAGGAGAGTTACACAAGCTTTAGAGGTCTGCTGGGAAGGTAGCTGATATAAATCCTGTTTTATTAAACCAGGCTGTGAGGAAACATGACTTCCCCAACAAAAAACACACACAGACATGTCTATCCAGCGATACACAATATGAACACCATCTGCATCAACTGACTTCTAAATTTCTATATTTTCTTTTTAAAACCTAAGTCTCTATTCCTCATTCTTTCAGGAATGATACTTAGTGGTTGAGTGGCAATATCCTTTCCTCTAAGGCTGATGGGATTCCTTTATGCTAGTAACTACAATAACGACACTGCAGACTTAAGACACTCAAGTGGATTAGAAAGATGCCTTCTCACAGTCAGAAACACTCCTGACAAATAACATTATCCATTCATTTGACATGCAATAACTACCCTTTGCTTTGTCTGGGCACGGGAAAAAAAAAGGAGCAAGTGATTTTTGCAAGCCTAACAAAAACCCACAATTATAAACAATCACAGGAATCAGCACAGTGTTTCCATAATCAAAGTGTTAAGGCCCAATGGAGCAAATGTAAATAACCTTTGATACTTTTCTAATGTAAAAGACTGGAAAGGGTAAGCAAGATACAATAGATAGCTGTCTTAAAACCTGTATGCTTTAAAAATATCCTACAAAAATAGTGGGCAGCTATGTAACAAGAGATAAACAGTTGCTAAATTGGATCAGCCTAAAATAAATAATT